CCTCCCTTCCCCTTTCCTCCCTCCCTCCCTTTCTTCCTCATCTTTCCTTCCTTTTTTCTTCCGTCCATCCCTCCTTTCCTCCATTTCCTCCCTCCCTCCCTCTTCCTCCCTCCCTCCCGCTGCCCCTCTCACACCGGGTGACCCTGGCAGGGGTAATCACAAAAACGCCTCTTTTCCCCTGCCTGGTGGGTTCTGAGGCCTTCCCACTAGGGGGGCTTCCCAGCCCCATTTCCCCCCCCACCCGCCTCACCTGCACTTGGGGCAGCCGCGGACCAGCTCGTCCTGCTGCACGCGGCCCGTCAGGAAGGGCGGCCGGCAGAGGGGCAGGCGGATCCTGGACAGGAGCTCTGGCAGGCAGCCTTCTCGGGGTCCCCGGTCGTACCTCACCCAGGCCAGGGCGGCTTCGAAGACCTGCCGGCGGGAGAGAGAGAGAGAGAGAGAGAGAAAGAAAGAAAGAGAGAAAAGAAAGAGAGAGAGAGAGAGAGAGAGAGAGAGAAAGAGAGAGAAAAGAGAGAGAGAGAAAAGAGAGAGAAAGAGAGAGAGAGAAAAGAGAGAGAGAGAGAGAGAGAGAGAGAGAGAAAGAGAGAGAAAAGAGAGAGAGAGAAAAGAGAGAGAAAGAGAGAGAGAGAAAAGAGAGAGAGAGAGAGAGAGAGAAAAGAAAAAGAGAGAAAGAAAGAGAAAAGAGAGAGAGAGAGAAAAGAGAGAGAGAGAGAGAGAGAGAGAGAGAAAAGAGAGAGAGAGAGGGGGGGGGAAAGGGTCAGCGCCCAGGGGGCCATTCTCCGCTCAGGCGAGGCTCCGCGCAGCTCACACCCGGCGCCCAGATTCGATCTCGGGTCAGGAGGGAAGGACCTTCGGGGAAGTACAGGGTGGCCCTCAGCTTACGGCCACCATTCGGTCCCAATATTCATGTCGCTAAGGGAGACATTGGTTAAGTGAGCTTTCTGGCCACAGTTGTTAAGTGAATCACGGCAGTCCCTAGTCACGCGGTCGTTAAGCGAATCCGACTTCCCCAGGGAATTTTCCTGTCAGACGGTCACAAGAGGGGATTGCGTAACCCCCCCGGGACACAGCAACCGTTGTAAATATGAACCAGTTGCCAAGGGGATGCTGTAACAGTCATAAGTGCGAGGATCAGTCATAAGTCACTGTCTTAAGCGCTCTTGTATTTTTGAATACTTGCTAAACAAATGGAGGTAAGCCGTAAGTAATTGAGCATGAGAGAATTTATGCTTTTGTGTCCAAAGAGGCTTTAGAGTGTACAAGTAGTCCTCAACTTGCAACAGTTCGCTTAGTGACCGTTACAATGGCACTGAAAAAAGTGAATTATGACCGTTTTTCATTCTTACAACTGTTCTAGCATCCTCATGTTCAGGCAATCCAAATTCAAATGCTCAGCAGCGGACTCGTATTTACGATGGTCTTGGGATCACATGATCCCCTTTTGTGACCTTCTGACGAGCAGTGTCAATGAGGGGAAGCCAGATTCGCTTAACGACCGCATTACTAACCGCAACTACAGTGATCCACTTAACAACTGTGGCAAGGAAGGTCATAAAACCAGGCAGAATTCATTATTAAATGGGGCACAGCTGGCTTTACAACCGCCTCACTTAGTAACAGAAATCTGGAGCTCAGTTGCAGCCGTACGTTGAGGACTGCCTGTGTTTTCTACCATTGTTTTAAGACTTTCAGCTTTGTCAAGTTTTATTTTTCCTCCGTAATCAATTGTCGCACAACAACTTAGATCAGTGTTTCTCAACCTTGACAATTTTAAGGCATGTGGACTTCAATTCCCAGCTGGCTGTGGAATTCTGGGAGTTGAAGTCCACATGCCTTAAAATTGTCAAGGTTGAGAAACACTGACTTAGATCCTCCTCAGTTGTTGTTCTTGTGTTGAAGGCAACATTTTGTCGTCACCCCCCCACACACACACACATACACACCCTGGTAGCAGCTGGCAGGACCAAGGAAGAGTGAACTATGCCGATTACAGGAAATTCTCTTTATTTTGGGAGGTCTGGAATAAACCCAGCGTCCTGGAAAGCGCAAGGGGAATTTCCCAGACTGGTTTATAATGTGCTAATTGTGTTAAAAAGTGTTTCCAGTTCTTCCTTCTCTGGTTTCCCGCCCATCTGGGCTTAGTCAAGGTTTATAAAATCAGTTAGAAATCAAGTTCCTCTTTGAGTCCTCATTTGCTTTTTCTGTTCTCCCTTCCATCCTCTTCTCGCAATGTGTGTCATAAGTCCAGGTAGTCCTTCATTAGTCCTCAACTTACAACCACAGCTGCTACTGAATAAGACAGTTGCTCAGTGAGTTTGGCCCCCATCTTACAACTTCTCTTTCCACCGTTCCATGAATCGCTGCGGTTGCTGAATTAGTAATAATAATAATAATAATAATAATAATAATAATAATAATAATAATAATAATAATAATAATAATAGTAATAGTAAAGTTGGAAGGGACCTTGGAGGTCATCTAGTCCAACCCCCTGCTCAGGCAGGAAACCCTATACCATTTCAGACAAATGGCTATCCAGTCTCTTCATAATAATAATAATAAAGTTGGAAGGGACCTTGGAGGTCATCTAGTCCAACCCCCTGCTCAGGCAGGAAACCCTATACCATTTCGGACAAATGGCTGTCCAGTCTCTTCTTAAAAACCTTCCAGTGTTGGAGCATTCACCGCTTCTGGAGGCAGGTTGCTTCTGGAAGAGGGTTGTTCAGTGGATCTGCCTTCCTGCTTGTCAGGCGGTCGCAAAAGGGGATCACATGACCCCAGGACCGTCATAAACACGAGTTAGTTGCCAAGTGCCCGGATTTTGACCACTTGACTGTGGAGAAGCTGCAACGGTCATAAGTGTGAAAAAAAAATGACATAAGGCACCTTTTGCAGTACTGTACTGTTGTAACTTCAGACGGTCACTAAAGGAAACGCTGTATGTCGAGGACTACCTGTAAATCTTGTGCCGGGGGAATTCCAGTCTCCTGAGGGACCCCGACTCTTCCAAATGTATGAAAACAGACCTCAACAGATCCTCTAGATCTGCAGTGATCCTGTTGCTATTGGTGTCACCACCAAGCTGGTCCCTCAAGCCGGTCCCGTCCGGTGGCTATTAGCTTCTGGGGCTTCGTTTACTGACAGGTAGTCCTCAACCTACGACCACAACGGAGCCCAAAACTGCTAGGCAACACAGTTAGGTGAATTTTGTCCCCACTTCACAACGTTTCTGGGCAACGTCGTCCAGTGAATCACTGCAGTCGTTAAGCTAGTCGTTAAGTGACTCCGGGCTTCCCCCGCTGGCTCTGCTCGTCAGAAGGTCGCCAAAGGGAGTCACGTGACTCCGGGACACTGCAACCGTCGCAAACAGGAGCCGGTTGCCAAATGTCTGAATTTCGATCCCGCAAACCACAGGGACGCTGGAACGGTCATAAAGCGTGAAAAATGGCTGTAAGTCCCCTTTTTTCGGTGCCGTTGTAACTTCGAACGGCCATTAAAGGAACGGTTGCAGTTGCGCGCTCGGTTACCCCCCCCAAAAAATAACGAAAAGCGAGGGGGGCCGGGAGGGGGGGGTCCTACCTGCTCCTCCACCTTCACGTGTAGCTCATCCCTCGAGAGCAGCTCCAGGACATCCTCCAAGGGCAGAGACAGGAACTCCTCCAGCATGGAGACCTCCACGAAGTGCTGGTGGACGAAGTTGTTGGCGGCCTCGTACAGGACGGCGCACATCATGGCCTCCGCGAACTGGCGCACGCCCAGGCAGTTCTTTGGGTGGAGCCTTTGAACGGGAGGGAGGTGAGCGGGACCAGCGGGAAACGTCCGGCCCACTCAGGTCTAACCCCCGAACCCAGATTTCCAAGGAGAGGGCAGAGGATACCCACTGTGCAAGATTGCCCAGTGGGTATCCACAGTGGGTATCCACAGACAGCAGTGGGTATCTTGCACAGTGGGTATCTTGCACAGTGGGTATCCACAGACAGCAGATTAAATTGCCCCCCCTACACACACACACACACACACACATACATGCACCAAGGGAACTGGGCTGTGATTTATTCCCATGGGGCAGAGATACTAGTACGGTCGGAGGAACGTGGCTACAGTAAAAGCGTCCTTTCCGGTGAGATTTCCTCTTGGTCTCCTTTCCAAAGGCTAAACTGGGTTGACCTGCTTTCTTTCCCATGAAGAGAAAGCACAGGCTGCCGTAGGGAACGCAATGTGTGGATGGCCTTGGGGGATGTGGGGGAAACAATCAGATAAGGGGGGCAGGAGACCTCGGTCACTTAACGGTCAGAGGAAGAAATGAAGAAGGACCGGTCCTAATGGATCAATCAGATAAGGGAGGCAGGAGCCCTCCTCGGTCACTTAACGGTCAGTTTTCCTGCTCAGAGAGGAGTGGCTGGACCCTTTGGTCCTAAGGCTTCATTCGGGGAACACAATTGTGGCAACACCAGTATTGCCAAAATCGGCAATCGCCTTCCAGTTTTTGGCAAACCACGCCCATTGCAAACCACCGATCTGTTTAGCGACCACCATGAAAAGGTGGCAAAATCTAACCGTCCCGCTTTACGACCGTCACAACCATGATGGGCAGGCTCCATGAGGAACTACCGATAATACCAATTTCCTCAGTCTTTGCCATCCCAGGGAATTGGAAATTCAAAAACAGACGGGACGACCACTGGACCAGGGATGGTATAAGGCAGTGATGGTGAACCTTATAGAGACCGAATGACCCAAAACTGGCCCCGCCCTGCTCCACCCCCACCCCATCCCCTACCCTGCCTGCCCACAGGGCCACTCACCGCCTCCAGGGCCCGCCGCAGATTGCCCAGGCAGCCCAGCAGCGCCATGGCGGCCACACCCTCTGCCCGCGTCCCACAGCATCAACTGTGCCCGATGGGGCATGAGGGCAGAATCTGCCCTGGCTACCTGGCTGCCATGTCCTTGGCTGCGCTGCTCCGCGTGGGCCACGCTCGGGGGCAACTCTCCTCCAGAGGGGCTGCTGGTTAGGAGGGGGTCGTGTGGGGAGGCGAGGCTGGGGCAATGGCGCGCGTGCCCACAGAGAGGGCTCCGAGTGCCGCCTCTGGCACCCGTGCCACAGGTTCGCCACCACTGGCATAAGGCAGTGGTGGTGAACCTATGGCACGGGTGCCAGAGGCGGCACTCAGAGCCCTCTCTGTGGGCACCCGCACCGTCGCCCCAGTCCGAGGCCTTCAGCTGGGTTTTATAAAACCTTTTTGCTTTAGGCCT